GGGGGGGGGGGGGGAGATGGATAAAATTAAAATGAGAAGAAGATCCGTCAGCCTGTGCCCACTGGTCTTCGATCCGTTCTACCGGCCAGATGTTATTACTTGGATGCTAAAAGTGGGCGCTCCTTTACAGCCTCGTTCTACCACTGTACAGTAGTATATCCCGTTGCGCCACCGTTCCCACCCACCCTGAGAAACCTGAGAAACTATAGACCGAGTTGAAACTTCCGTGTACACGTGAAGCGGCCTTATTTATTGGGCCCATGTAAATTAAACGTTCTACCAGCAATTACACGGCGATTTAATCCAGCCGGCGATGGCTGCTTTTCCTGCACAGCCTCACGGTACACGCGCAGGATCTCCTAATACCTTTCCGACCAGGTACTGTGGTTAACGAACTCTTAGGGATGCCGGTGCTTCTGCGGTACTGAAAGCATCCGCACGGAGCCACCCTTTTCTTCGGCGAAGAAACAGAAGGGTAGTAAACGTAAAGCGGAGAGTACCAAAGAAGACTGAGGTTCCAGGGGAAACTTTAGGTACATCCGACTCTCGCTTTGGATCCCTTGAGAATCATCCTCGTCTTGGGAACTGGCCATTTATTTTTTTTTTTCATCCAATCCCCCCCACACTCAACCTCGACCCCGTACCCGTTTTCCAAGATCCACCCCCCCCCCCTTCGTGCTGCATAGTCGCCACTTCGCATCTCCTGGAATTCTCCGAAGAGAGACTTTGGCTACTCGCGAAACTTCTTCCAAGGCTATTTTCCAGGGTTGAAATCGATTGGACCCCTGAGGGGTGAAGGGAGCGAAGGCAACCCTCTACCTATAGCTCCGTACCATCGTAGCTCCATGGTTCCATGACTCGATGGCAGTTGTCGAGTTATGGGCGAGTTTCGCCTCGGCGACGGTGCATTTCTCGAGACAAATCGCTCGCCCACTTCTCCGGCGATGCTTTGAGATATCGTTGGAGGAATAGTGCCATCCAACCGGGAGCAGCTGACCGAGTTGAGGATATAAAAAAAAAAGAAATACACGCCTAGGGTATTCGCTCTAAGCCATTGTAAGATCTCACGGAGCACAGACACGACTGGACATGGACCAGTGTAACAATTGGTATCCACAGCCAGTGCAAATAACGGACTGAAAATCGATATGGGAATTATGCACGGGCTACTTTCGTTCCGTGATATAGTAGGATAACGGCTTGTCAAAGGATACGAAGGTGAAGTAGCCGAGGACGAAAGTCGTAGAAAGTTACTCTTACTTGAAATCTTAGTCCCACGGGTGCTGGGAAATCGGCTTAGAGTGTCGTAAGGGATAGGTAATACTGTCGTTTTCATCAGATTTGCCCTTCCTTTTACATGATTCTCGAATAAGGCCCATTCGCTGGAGAAGTCGATAACGGGGATTTTCCCAGGACCCAAATCCTGACCCCGTGTCATACGAAATGGCCGGAGTGTCTTTCGTAATTCGAGGGGCTGAAGGGGGGGGGGTGTCCCGTGCAAGAAAGAAGACATGGAAGGACACGCAAGAAACATGAAGGGATCGACACAGTTTTTTTTTTATCGTAACACTGAGCTTACGAGATCCTCCCGAGCTTAAGGATTTGAGGAAGAGAGGGGAGGGCCGGGCGTGGGGGAGATCTGTGGAGAGCGTCGAGCTTTCCCGGAAGGTTCAAGAATAGAGGACCTGAGAGAGACGGAAGTAAGGGTGTCAAGTAAAAGCATCTAGATCTTGCGGCTACCCAAGATCTCGAGACGGAGGGAGAACGGGTCAAAGAGAAAGACGGTGTTGAAATGAGGGGGAGGGAGAGGGGGGGGAGAAGCAAGTTAATCCAGAAATGGGAAAGAAAGCTCCAAGAAGTGAATTTCCGGTGGTACCACCTGAGACCAGCGGAAGTGAGTGTGTTAAATATTGTAAGAACCGGCGAATATCCCAACTCATGGTTACCGAGCTTCCGGTTACCGTCCAAGGGAAACGCCTGGGTTCCGGCGACAGCGCAGGGGGCTCGCTTAAACAGAAACCGGAAATTCTTCAGAGAATTATCACGTCTCGCGACTGTCTCGTCTTAAATTTCAAGAATATTTAAAAGAACATGCGCACGTGCTCCGCAAGACCTTATCACTCTTATCACCCAAAGATGACGCGCAACTCTACCGCCAAGACACCCTGAGAAAGAACAAAGATAAAATTTACATAAAAAATATAATACAGCAAATGGACTATCGAGAAAACAATGTTCCAGGTGAATTGCCAGTGAAAATGAGGAAACCAGTGAGAACCGAGACTCCGTTGAATTCCGGATGCTGCAGTAAGCTCACGGGTAAACTCAGTTTGGGAAACTTGAGGATTGCGGTTCAAAGCGTCTGCGAAGTTACATCTGGAGCTGCCCCGTTTCCTTGCGGAAGCTGCATCCTTTTCGCAGTTAAACGCAGTTAAAGTAACTATCGTCGCCCTGGACCCGGAGCCTGGTAAGTTCGAGACGCGGTCGACGTGCTCCGGGCGTATCCGGCATCCAGGAAAGAAAAGATGTGGAACGATTGTAATCGACACGGAGAAAAGGAGGTCAGTCGGCAGGGGTCTTACTGGTAAATTGCAGCGACCTGCAGCGGAATAAGAAGAGGATGAAGGACCGAGAGGACAGGGAGGCTGAGTGGCCGAGGTAGCCGACAAGAAAGAGTACATTTGTAAAGAGGCTTATAGGTGCCAGATAAGTTGGCACGTGGCTGGGAGCACTTTGCACCGGGTCGACGCGAGAAAATCTCATCCCCCCCTGATACAGCCCTCCTGCCTCCCGACCGCCAGCTCGCGGCTTTCCGGTACCCGAGTGGGATTAATGCATTCAGTTTCGAGAGGCTCTATTGTGCAGTGCCACACTGATCCCCGTTTTGTACCTACCTAATGCCGCCCGATACAATCGCGGCCGACCAATAGGAGACCGAAAACGCGGCCACCGTGCACTCCGTGCGACCCGAAGCCAATTCGTACAGGGAAGATACAGAGAAACAAAGGAGGAAGAAGAAAAGGGTGCCGAATTAAATTCCAAGAGCCCAGAGTGACGTGAGATGCCGATAAAATTCAAAAAATCCTCATCTTCCCCAAATCGCGAAAGAGGACCAGATTTCACGAATATCCGGCATAAGAGTCTCGTAAACAGAAATCCGCGAATAGAATATCCACGCTGCACAAAAGAGGCTGCACTTGCCACCGGAAACGGCTGACTCTATGCTCCGGCAGATCTCGAACCGAATATATACGCGTGCATACAGATACTCCTTATCAGTGGGGTAACGGCAGGTACCGACGAGGATAGAATAAAGAGCTAAGAAACTTGGCTAACCGATGGCGGCCATGATTTGATCCCGTGCGTCATAGAAAGGACACAGGAAGCTCGTTAACTTCTACCCGGAGGGTCAGGATGCGCAGGCATGGTCCAGGACTCGGGTATTCTGGAAGATGAGGCAGGCAACAAGGTGGTGGCATAGTATAGATTTACCCTGTACAGAATTTTTTTTTTTTTTCTTGCTTGCTTCAACGTCCACAAATTTCTCGGTTACCTGCTAGCCGTTATAGAAATTCCTGGACCAGTTTGAAAGATGCGCCGACGGAAACGAGAGGGTTGCAAACGAGCGAGGTAACCAATAACCCCGGCCATCGTTCAATCTGTTGTAAACTTACCCTTGTTTATTACCGGAGCGCTTCGCAATCCCCCGCTAGCCGCAAAGGGAAAAACGTCCACCCCCCGCACTCCTCCCGTTAACGCTAAATTTCCCTAGTCAATTTCACTAGGAAATTCAACCGAATCGATTCGAATCGTCCCTTACGTATTAACCAAAGAATCCAAACATAAAATGGTTACAATTTACATAGCTGGCCAGGTCCGGCTCGATGCACCCTGCTCCTACTGACTCCGCGCTCTGCCTAATCGTCCCCCTCGGCCGTACGTGCCATAGATGAAACGCCGTATGGTATTATGTACCTATGGATTAAGCGTGGTTTATTTATTCAGGATTTTGCAGAGTGTCCAGCCCCTCGCTGCATTCGAGCGAGTGTGCTCTATCGCGGTCTGTCGCGATTTTCCCGCCTTTGAGATTCTGTTTGCTTTGTCAGGTCGCGAAACGAAAGATAAATACCGAGGACACGTGACGTTTCATCTGAAAATTTACTAGCGACAAAAATTAATAATAATAATAAAATTTGGGTGCGAACGAGACTAACGAGTACTTCGAAAAAATCAATAATCTATATACGATAACAAACCGTACGTATATATCGTGAGGTATGGTATAGTCTGCTCCACCGCGCGTTGACTCAATTAGCATCAACAGGGTATAAACAAAAGGGCCCGCAAACAATTAGTCCGCTATTAAGGGCTCGCGTGAGGGGAGGCAATCCTGAGGCGAGAAAGGAGAAGTCGAGTAGCCGTGAGATGAGAATGAGAATGGGAGGGTGAACGAGGAGGAGAATGAGTCAGTTGGAGACGGTGGGCGGGGTGGGAGGGGATAGGCCGTACTAACGAGCCATTACTCCTGCCAGTATATGGGGGATGAAATTACTTTAGAATTTCAGCTGTTAAGCGAGTCAAGGCACAGGGATACATGGAAAGCGGCAACTGTGCAGTACCTGCTGGCGATTCGGGAGTGAGAAGGACGAAGAAAATTAAAGATCATTAAAAATTATTAATACACAGCGCAACGTAGCCCGAAGGGAAAAGAAAACAAACCCTTACGAATTCGTAAGCGAATTTCTTAGCGCACGGTACATTCCGCCTGATTATTTCCTATTGATTCCGATAGGCCGACCAAAGCTTGTCAAACAGTCTGAGCAAACTGTATGAGCTTTTTTTAACGGAGAATGAAATTGGGAACAAAATTTTTTATTGACTCGGCCCAAACATCCAATTCGAAAAAGCTAACGGTCTCCAATCAAAGTAATAAAACGTTAAAATGAATTTTTCCCCCAATTCAAACTACATTGTACTGCCTCTCCGTGTATAATGATTTTAACGATATTTCGCTTTATAGCTGCAGCACGTGTTTCTGCAGTGCAAATATGAACTGATCAAAGCAACAACTGCTGTCAGTTGAAACAAGCATTATTTACCTGATTCGCGTATAGTGCGTTCGAGTTAATTCGGTCGAGAGTCATTATAACTGTACGGGACGACCGCAAGTCGCGTTAAATCGAATGGACCGTATTGGACGAAAGTAAGATTGAGTGAAAATAAATTTCACTCCGCTCATGAGAAATTAATTTTTTTTTTTCCAGTGTCGACATACAAGCATAAGCACCGCAAAGTAGTCCAGTAAAATTTTACCATATATAATTGCGAGGCAGCCACTAACTAGCAGAAGTCAGATTAGCATGAGCGATAGCGAAGAAACTTTCCCATTAACGACTGCTCGCGAATTAGCCGCTCTTCGGCATCCCTCTAACCACCGATTCAGAATTTCAACCCCCAGCCCGATCCCCTGTCAATGGGAAAGGAGCACAATGGCCCCGCCGCACCCCTCGTCCAAAATGACACGCAAAGACGCTCTTCTGACAAAGACTGAACGGCAAAGTTATAATGACTCGAAAAGCCGCCG